ATGAAATTTATTTGAAAAAATAAGAGGCCCAGAATAGCCAAAACAATTCTTAGTGAGAAAAGTGATGCAAGAAGCATCAAAACACCAGATCTTAAATTGTACTATGGAGGTATAAGGTATAAGGTATAGCAACAAAAACAGAATGTTATTGTCACCAAAATTAATATGAAGACAAATACAACAGAATAGAAGAGAAAGAGACAAACCCACATAAATACAGTTATCTAATACTAGAAAAAGATGCCATAAAAACACGTTTGGAGCAAAGATAGCCACTTCAACAAATGATGCTAGGAAAAGTAAAAATCTATATATGGCACAATAAAATGTATAAATTGTGACCCCAATCTGTCATCCTGCACAAAACTCAAAGTAGATCATGGACCTAGGCATTAGACCAAAACGCTGGGTTTACTTGAAGAAAATGTAGGACTGACTCTCCATCATGTTGGCTTAGGAAGAAACTTCCTCAAAATACCCTTCAAGTGCAATAAGTAAAATAAAGAATCAATGAATGGATGGTATTCAACTAAAAAGCTTCTTCACAGCAAGGGGAAGAATGGAAAGAAAATCATTGCCACCTGCACCTCAGATGGAGCATTAATCTCCAGGTTATACAAAGAAATCTAAAAACTTAACACCAAAAGAACAAATAACACAAACAATAAATGGGCAGAGGAGATGAACAGACACTTCACAGCAGAACAAATATGAACAATCAACAAATATATGAAAAAAATGAAAAAAAAAATGTCAACATCTCTAGCAATTAGAGGAATACAAATCAAAACTACCCTGAGATTCCATCTCACTCCAAGCACAATGGCAATTATCAAGAATATGAGCAACAATAAATGCTGGCTAGGATGTGGGGGGAACATTACACTCGTACATGGCTGGTGGGATTGCAAAAAGCAATAGGAAGATTCCTCAGAAAACTTGAAATGGAGCCAGTATTTGTCCAAATTTATATACCCAAATGATTTAAAAGATGCATACTACAGTGATGTAGCCACATCAATGTTTATAGCAGCTCAATTCACAATAGCAAAGTTATGAAACAAACTCAGTGCCCTTCAGCAGATGATCGGATAAAGAAAATGTGGCATTCTAGAACTTCTGAGAAATCTGATGAGGATCCTATGGAGAAATTATGATGAGCCTTTACTCCCTTTCAACACTATAGGCATTAGGCTGCATTCTAGTATCTTAGAGAACAGAGCATTTGGTTATAGTATCATGATGTGAGTGAGGTTCTACCATACATTCACACCAATTATTTGGAAGAAAATGTAACTGAATACCTTGAATGTGGATATGATGAGGTCTTCCAAAGGCCAAAGGTATTAAAAATATTTAAACTTGAAATGAAAAAAAAATATTGAATTAGTATAAAAGACTACCTTTATTTTCCTCTTTAAACTGCTTACATAGTGTCCCAGGAATTTTGATATGTTGTATTTTTATTATCATGTGTTTTGAAGAATTTCTTATTTCCTTTATGGCCCATTTTTAATGGTATTTTCAATCTCCATGTTTTATGTGGTTTCTATTTTTCTTATTGATTTCTAATTTCATTTCATTATGATATGA